CATTTATTGTTAAATATTCCTTGAACTTTGCCTTCTCGGTACAGTGGGTCCTTTATAGGAGAGGGAGTTTAGCTTCAAACACTGAACTATTTGAGGTTATCAGAGGTTATCCACAGGTACGAAGAGTTGGGGAAATCTTTTGTCCTGTTCTGTGGTTTTCCTACCTAGTCTGCCTTTTTTTTTTTTTTTACAATAGCTCCAAACATCTAAGCACCTCGTCGTAAAAAAAAGAAAGAATACTGGATTCAGACCTTTTTTCTTTTTCTCTCCTGTCCATTTATTTGGGATTACACAAATCTACCTTTCCTGAGGTCTTATCAGTCAGCAATAATCACCCAGGCTCCATACCGCATCGACCAAGTCAGGCTTGCATTATGGTGGAAGTAGAGCTCTCTCATCTAGAGGAGAAGTTCCTAGGAAAGTAGAGAATACCTGGGTGCATACATGAGTGTCACCCATGTTTTCAGGTCCATCCATTGCTAAAAGACAAGTAGCTCTTTGCATCTCTCTACTCATCTATTTATACTGAAAGTCTTAGGGGTTGTTTGCCTGGTTGAGGAAGGTCTGAGAATTCAAAGAAAAAAATTTTGAGAGACAGAGTCAGAGAGAGCTCCCATGTGCTGGTTTACCCCCAAAATGCCTGTGATGGCCAAACTGCGCTGAGACTGAAGCTGGGAGGTAGGAACTCCATCCACATGTCCTGCATGGGTGACAGGGACCCAGTTACGGGGGCCATCACTGCTGTGTCCCAGGGTCTGCATGAGCAGGAGGTCGCAGTCAGGAAGTAGAGCAGAGACTCAAACCCAGGTATTTCAACATGGGACGCGGGCATCTTAACTGCCAAGCCAGAGACTTGGGACGAGTTCATGTCACGGAGGGTCAAAGGACAGTGGTGCTCTACAGGGACGCATGGGTACGTGGCACCCAGGTTAAGGCAATGATGCTGGGTATGGCTCCATCCTTGGCTCCTCAAGGGACCTGTGGGGTCTGAGCTAAGAGCTGCTGCTGCAGAACATGATGGAAGTGACTAGTGTGGGACAGGTCAGATGAGGCAGAAAGGAGAGCAAGAGGGAGGCAGGAGGCCTGCCTTCTACACCAAGGGGAGGGCTGAAGGTTGGGGTTGGTGGCCCCAGGACGTTCCAGGTAGAGTGGCCCAGATGACAATAGGCCTTGTTGGGACGACTCGGGAGAGGCGTCTGGCTGGAAAGCCAGGGCCTGGCTGCTGCCCACATCTGCTCAACTCTCACTCAGGATTTAAGGTTTCCTTCGTAAAGACTCGCTGGACTGTAGGTTCCATTCTTGTGAGAAAAATGACGCAATCACTTACATTTCTTAACAGGGAGTCCAAATACCTGTGCATCAGCCACAGTCCACGTCTCTCCTCTCTCCCTTGCTTCTTTGGCTGACAGAGCCCTTCCATCCTCACACTGAGACTGAAGGCAGCTGTTTTCCACACTTGATAGTGAGCTGAGGCTCTGGGAAGATTCTGGACTTGTGCTGGCGCCCCCAACCTGTGGTGGCTGGAGACGGAACTGCAAGTCCAGTGCTATTCCACCACACCAGCTACTAAGTTCTCTGGTAGTCTCTGCACCCTGTGCTTAGGATTTCCACTCACATCCATCCCTGCCTAAGGCCATTAACCACTTAGTGTTCTCTGCTTGGACCCTCGTTCAATGGTTTTGGTTACTGTGCGAGCTATTGGAAGGCACTAAGCTATGCAAACCTCTTGAGATCAGGCACCAGGGATGCCTCACTTGAGCAATGGAGCCCTCTACTAACCCAGGAATGGGAAGCAGGAGCACCCTGATCTTCCCTCTCCTTTGCAGGAATGAACAACAATCTGTCCAACACCAGAGAACTTTAGAAAGATGCCAGGCATCCTGAGCCCAGAATCAGTGTGGTCCAGGAAGAAGTTCAGCTGCAAAAGCAATTTGACAGAGCCAGCGCCCCATACTGGAGTGCCTGAGTCGGAGTCCCAGCTCCAATTCCAACTTACTACGAATGCACATCCTGAGAGGCAGCGGCTAGCAGCTCAGGTACTTGGGTCCCAGTCACCCACACGGGAGATCTGGATGGAGTGCCTGGCTCCTGACTTCAGCCTGGCCCTGTCCATTTGGAGAGCAAACCAGCAGATGGAAGATTTTTGTCTGTGGGTCACTATTTCTTTCTGTCTCTCCACCTTTCAAGTAACATGAAAACAAATAAAAATTAGGGGGAGAAAAGGAAGAGGTGTATGGAGACCCAAGAACTGTTCCAGGGATCCTGGGGCACAAAGAAAAACAGGGCCATCAACAAGTGGAACAGCTTTAACTCCCTGGATGTAAGACTCGAAGTCTGCTATGGCAGGACCCAAAGTCTGCTTGGGAGGCGATCTGTCTGTTCACATGGAAGCATCCAGGGGAACCATGGCTGCCTATTCATGGCTGAGAGACAGCTCTGACTATACTCAGGGGGGCCCTCTGAGCAGGGATAGCCCTGAAGAGGATCACTACGGGCTCACTTGAGGGGTGGTGGGAAATAGCCCGCAGGACAGGGGTGGTGCCTTGGCAGATATGAGGACTGCTACATCAGCGGAGGACAATGAAGTTGATGCTGCGAGACCAAGAGAAGCCCCATCCTCCATAAGGGGACCTCAGGGCAGAAGGATCCTTCCTGCAGCCACTGTCACCGACACCAAGGAATCAGTTCTTGCTCCTGATTACTGAGCCTTTGGCCTGCAGGAGCCTATCTGTTGCTTACTTATGGTGATAGGCTTTCTTTTCTTTTCATGCAACCTCAGGTTTGCAAAGGAGACATTTCAACAGCTCACTGGATTCTCTGGTGAAGAACCTTCCAGGTTTCTCTGACTTTTTAAAACAAACATGTATTTATTTATTTTCACTTTATTTTAAAGGCAGAGAGTCAGACCCAGAGAGAGATCTTCCATCTGCTGGTTCACTCTCCAAGTGCCCACAGCAGCTGGGGCTGGGCTAGGCTAGCAGCCTGGAAGTCAATCTGGGTCTCCCGTATGAGTGGCAGAGACTTGAGGACCATCACCTGCTGCCTCCCAGAGTGTGCATTAGTAGAATGCTGGATGGGAAGTGGAAGAACTGGGACTTGAATCAGGCACTTCAATATCAGATGCATGTGCCTCAATCAGTGACTTGACCACTACACCAAACACCTGCCTCTAAACTGATCAGGTACAGGATCTGTTGGTCCGGGGATATGCTGATACATTTTCTTCCAGGTGAAATTATCCTCTTATAGCTCCCATGGTAGATCCAGGACCAGGCAGGATTAGTGTGTGCGTTATCTGAAAAAAAATCTTACGAACGCTTTATAGTGCTCAGGTGTCTGCATTTTGGGGAAACTGAGTAGAGGGAGGAGCTTCCTGGCAACCTCTTGTGTGCAGCCTTAATCCTCTGCCAATGATTTACTTTACCCCTGCATTGTTGAACTGGACACGGAGAGGTGATTTATCAGAAAGTATAGCAGGAACAATTTGTCATTTCTGAGATCTCAAATACCGGCTCACTGCAAGCTTCTGGCTGGACGGTAAGCCCTGACTCAGTGATTCTGTGTTTTCTCCCAGAGTTATGCGAATGGAAAAGTAGACATCTCTGCTCCTCTGGACTTAGCTAGAGGTAGAGCTGACGTTCATGGAGCGCAGGTGCTGCAGGGAACAGTTCAGAGCCTGGGCTTTGGTGACAGGTGGGACCTAGTTCTAGCTGCCTACTGTGTGGTCCTGACAACTTACTCAAGTCTCTAAACTTCGGATTGCTTCCTTCATTAATTTTCTTCTCAGTTCTGGGAATTTTTCAGTAAGTTATCTAGGGTTTCCTAGATTGACAATCATATCTTCTGAAAACAGTGATATTTTCTTCTAATGGTCATAGCAGAGGTTCCTTTTTGCTGTTTGATCACATTGGTTAGAATGAGCAGAATGACGTTTAATAGTAACATTGATAATAGGCATCTATATCATATTCCACCTGCACTATATTAATGGGATGTTTCAAATGTTTTATATTAAGTATGATGGTTGCTATACAAAGGTGCTTCAAAATACTTATGGACAACAGAATGAAAAGATAAGTTTATTTTTGTGCAAAAAAATTCTGAAATTGACAATTTTTTTCCCTAACATGCATTTTCGGTGAGCTTTCTGGAGACCCCTGTGTGCATGGACTTACACATTTCTTATATGAAAATAAGCTTATTTTTAAATTCTATTTTTCCACACACTTTTTGAAGTACCCTTGATGCTGTGGCAGACATCGTGTATCAGCTTAAGAAAATTTCATTGTATTTTTAAAAAATCATGAATGGACATCAAATTGTATTGCATTCTTGGCACCCATAGAACCAACATGATCATATGGCTTTTGTTCTTAGAGTTTCATTAATAGTTTTCCTGTTGACTAACTATTTTCCTATGTCAAATTATCTTGATCCAAGATACATTCTAATCGACTATAATGCATTTTTCTCTTTTAATACTGCTGGACTTGATTTGATTATATTTCACTTAGGATTTTTTTTTTTTTTTAATTTGAAAGGCAGACAGAGAGAGAGAGAGAGAGAGAGAGAGAGAGAGAGAAATAGAGAGAGAACAGGAGATCTTCCATCCACTGCTCAAATGCTCATCCTCATTCTCAAAAGCTCCCAACAGCCAGGCAGGGCTGGCTCAGGCCAAAGATGGGAGCCCAGGGCTTAATCTGGGGCTCCCACGCGGGTGGCAGATACTCAAGCATTTGAGTCATCACCTGTTGCCTCCCAGGGTGTGCATTTGCAGGAACTAGATCAGAAGTGGGGCTGGCACTCAAACCCAGGCTCTCTGATTTGGGATGTGCATGTTCCAAGTGGCCTCTTAACCTGAAGATGCACACCCCTACACGCCCGCCCTCCATTAGGATCTTGGAAAATCTAAGCTCTTAAGAGATATCCTTATGCCATTGTCTTGTGTGCTGCCTGGCTGTGACCGCTTTTGAATGCCTTGTGTTGATTAAAGGCTCAGGCGGGAGAGAGCCGCGGACATGCTGAAGGAACTCCAGCTCTCCCTGTCGGTCATCCTGCTGCTTGCCTGTGGCTTCCTCTACCAGCTGTCCCTGCGATCCGGCTGCCTCTTCTCCTGCCTCCCTCCCTTGAAGTCCCAGGAAGGGCCCGAAGCCCTCCTGAGCCCCGGACGCAGCATCGTGTTCCTGGAGACCTCGGAGAGAACGGAGCCGCCGCCGCTGGTGTCCTGTGCGGTGGAGTCGGCAGCCAGGATTTACCCTGGGCAGCCGGTGGCTTTCTTCATGAAGGGGCTGGGCAATCCCACACAGCTGCCTTCCAATTCTACGCACCCCGCGTTCTCCCTCCTCTCCGCGATGGACAACGTCTTCCTCTTCCCCCTGGACATGAAGAGCCTACTGGAGGACACCCCGTTGTTTTCCTGGTACACCCATGTAAGTGCTCCTGGCAACTTCGCAGGTCCATGGTGGGAGGGAGCACAGGAAGTGAGTCCGACTCAGGCTCAGAGATGGGACCTGAGCTGGGGGCTGTGCACTTTCCTTGGCCCAGAGCCCCCTACTCCCACCCCTCGACCCCTACCGGGCCCCCTGTCAGCCGAGGGCGGTCCGGTTAGTCTTCCTTTAGTCGTTGTCTTTTGTGTCTGGCCTGTTTCCTACTGCTTCAGCTTCACCTTTGAGACTATTCTTAACTGCACGAGTTAGAATATCTTTTCTAGATGTACAGAGCACTCATTTTTCACTGCGGTTTGAAACCCATCTCTGTTAAATTATATTTGCACCCAAGGGGGATACCAGGCAAAGTTTAACATGAAAATAATGTAGATAGTAAACTCAGGAAGAGTCTATGGAGTGCTGCTATATGGATTGGGTTGTATCAAGACAGGATTGAGAAACTTCTGGAGCTCTTAGCAACCTTGTTATCCTCGTCTTAGCAGCCTAGAATAGTAAGAAAATAGTATTTCAATTTCATATTTCTCTCCCAGAGGACTGACAGTCAAGTACTGTTTAAGGAAGTTATAGCACACTCACTCAATGAGTTGAACATGGAGTCTTTTACTTTCATGGTATTTCTTTAAACTGACATCTTATGAAGACTATAGCAAATCTTGGATTAAAAACTCCCTTACATGACAATGTAGTTCCAATCATGTCAGCTCCTTAAAAACCCACACTCATCTATCAAGAAAAAAAAAAAAAACCTGAAGAAATTACATAGCACACAGTAATAGGTGTTTCAGTATGATTGCATTTTAGTATGATCAGATTCAGAGTGAACTCAGTGATAAGAGTATGTTAATTTTATAAATAAAACTATTTGAAAAATAAAAAGTAACTTAGAAAAATAATACTGTTTGCTTGCTACTTAAAGTCTTATCTAAATTCTAAGCATAGGCCACGCCATATATCAGCAAAAGTTTCCTCTGTAAAGGGCCAGGTAGTAAATATTTTAGGCTTTGTGGGTCAAGAGGCAACATGGACGATATTATGGAGGCATTGGTCAGAGTTTCCCATGGCCGCTGTAACAGATCGCTGCAAACCTTAGGATTCCAAACAATGGAAGTTTATTCCCTAAATTCTGGAGGCCAGGAATGCCAGACTAGTTTCCCAGAGCCCCAGTCCAGCTGCTGTGGCCATGTTCCCTGGGGAGGCTCTGGCCGGGAACCTCTTTCCAGCTGCTGGGAGCTGTGCATTTTCCTTGGCCCAGAGCCCCCTACTCCCACCTCTGCCTCCACCTCCAAATCCCCCTTTGTCTCTGTGTGGGAAATCTGCCTCTCCCTCTTTCCTTAAAGGTCCTGTCTGAGTTTTGAAACATCCATCGGGATGACCCAGGATACCCTCCCCACCTCAAGGTCCGTCAGGTAATCACACCTGCAAAGACCCATTTCCTGTAGGAGGTCCACAAATTGGGCCCTGATGTCTTTGGGTGGCCATTTGGTCATTAGTCAGCCTCCTACAGTATTTACACAAAAGGAGAGAAAACTCTTGCCCTGCCCGGCCCTGCCCGGCCCTGCCCGGCCCTGCCCTATGTGATCAGGAACTGAGTGGGCTATCCTGGGTGGCGGGCATATTTGCTTCTGGTTGTGGGTGGCTGGAGGCATTTTCTGGACTAAGCGACAGGACCAAGGGGGAGGGGTCTGGTGGGCCAGGAAGGTAGGAGGTGGGGCTGGGAGTCATTTTCACTCCTGCTCCCAGGGACTTTTAGATCCCCAAGTGCCCATCTCGCCTTCCCAAGAGCCCAGAAGTATCAAATTGGTACCTGTGGAGAGATGGCAGAGCAGTGCACTGGACTGAGGCATTGTAGGCCTGGCAGCTGCCAACAGCAGTGCTCCTGGGAATAGGTGGCTCTGGCCCAGGCAGAGACAGGACAGTGGTGTGCCAGGGAGGCAGGCTTGGGAGTGGAGGCTACCTGCCAGCTTGGCTGGTCCCTGTGGCTCTCAGTGCTAGCTGCTCCAGGACTGTACAAGTTTCTTGATACTGGGCCAGGCTAACACTACCGAGATTGGGTTTTGCTCTTTGGGGGGGGGGCATCTCTAGCCAAGAGATGCTGCATACTATATTCTTTTCTCACAGATGAATCATGACTATGAGGATCTTCAAGTCTCTTTATAGTTCTGAACTAAGAAATCTTAACCTGACTTAACCCATCACTTGGTAAACATTTTTGTGCTGGGAACCCTCTTTCAGTGCAACAAATCATCTCTTGGCACCACTGTTCCATGGAGCACAGCTTCAGTTGCTTTGACCTGCTCCTAGATTTTTATATATTATTTTAGGAGCAAGGTGGGCCCTGGGATACAGAGCCCTGAAGTGCCTTTTCCAAGTGATGCCCTAAACACTGTGTCTATAGTAATCACACCTTGATACCTTTGGGGTGCTGGGCTGTGGCAGGTTCTGCACCAGTTAGGCCTCCATAGGCCAGCTTGGGGCTACCTGTTGGATGACCCGAGGTACCATCATTTGCTGGTTAGCCCTGGATTTGCTGCTTAGATCTGGGCAATTGTAGTCCTTGAAAATGCCCAGACATGGGGCCAGTGTTGTGGCATAGTCAGTCTCTGCCTGCAGTACCGGCATTCTATATGGGCACCAGTTTGAGTCCTGGCTGCTCCACTTCCAATCCAACTCCCTTCTAATAACCTGGGAAAGCAGTGGAAAATGGCCCGAGTGCTTGGGCCCCTGTACCCATGTGGGAAATCTAGAAGAAGATCCTCATTTCTGGCCTCGGATTGGCCTAGCTCTGACCATTGTGCCCATTTGGGGAGTGAACCAGTGGATGCAAGACCTCTCTCTCTCTGTCTCTGTCTCTGTCTCTGTTTCTCTCTCTGTGTCATGCTGCCTCTATATACAGAAATAAATCTTAAAAGAAAATGCCCAGAGATGAGGACAGTGGGTTCAGGTGGAATGGGCAGTGGTGGTCTGAGCGGCCAGAACCCACACCCTCTCTGGCACTCACCCCTTTTGGAGCTCTTGTGTTTTAAGTTGATGTTAGTCTACTGCCCAATAAGGGCGGGCCTTCTTCTTCTCTGGGATTGTGTAGTTTTGATGTCCTATTTTCTGCGTCTGTTTCCTAATAATTGCCAGCTTACCAAAGAATCAAAGGTTATCATTTTTTACCAAAACTTTGCTTCTTTTGAAGGAGTGGATATCTGAAGCCAGATCGCTTGGGTTCAAGGAAACCAACCTCTGCCTCTCTTACCTTGGAAGCATGACCGAGATTCCTGGTCCTTCTAATTTTTCACTTGAAAAGTAAAAATAATGGGGGCCAGCGCTGTGGTGTAGTAGGTTAAGCCTCTGCCAGCACTGCCGGCATCCCATATGGGTGCCGGTTCATGTACTGGTTGTTCCACTTCCAATCCAGCTCTCTGCTGTTGCCTGGGAAAGCAGTGGAAGATGGCCCAAGTGCTTGGGCCTCTGCTACCACTTGGATGACCCGGAAGAAGCTCCTGGCTCCTGGCTTTGGATCAGCGCAGCTTCAGCTGTTGCAGCTATTTGGAGAGTGAGCCAGTGGGTAGATCTCTCTCTCTCTCTGTCATCCTCTCTCTATCTGTAACTCTGCCTCTCAAATAAATAAATAAATAAATCTTAAGAAACAAAGAAAAAGAAAAGTGACCATCATACCTATCTTTAAGGATTTGAATAGACTATAAAGAGCTTGAAAGAAGCAAATTGATAAATGTTATTTATTACTATTATGAGGTTTTCAGAAAATGTAAATAAGATAATATTTTTCAACAACCTGGGAAGACTTCCATAAAGTTTTAGTTTACTTGGTTTCATTTGACTTGATAGCAGAAGTTTAATGTTTATTTTGTCAAAAGCCAGAGGTTAATCTTAACATAAATTCAGAAAAAAATTCTGCTTTTTGTATTCAGAATCTTAGCATTCCATGTGGGAACACTGCCATTTATATGGATTTATTTTTGTTCCTTTTTTTTAATTTTAAAGATTTATTTATTTATTTTGAAAGTCAGAGTTACAGAGAGAGGGAGAGACAGAGAGAGAGAGAAACCTTCTATCCTGTGGCTAGTAAGTAGGAGTACCTCTAGATGGCTACAATAGCCAGGGCTGGGCCAGGCCAAAGCCAGGAGCCAGGAGCTTTGTCCATGTCTCCCATGTGGGTGCAGGGGCCCAAGGACTTGGGCATCAGCAGGGAGCTGGATCAGAAGTGGAGCAGCCGGGGGCCGGCACCGTGGCTCAATAGGCTAATCCTCCACCTTGCGGCGCCGGCACACCGGGTTCTAGTCCCGGTCGGGGCGCCGGATTCTGTCCCGGTTGCCCCTCTTCCAGGCCAGCTCTCTGCTATGGCCAGGGAGTGCAGTGGAGGATGGCCCAGGTGCTTGGGCCCTGCACCCCATGGGAGACCAGGAAAAGCACCTGGATCCTGGCTCCTGCCATCAGATCAGCACGGTGCGCCGGCTGCAGCGGCGGCCATTGGAGGGTGAACCAACGGCAAAGGAAGACCTTTCTCTCTCTGTCTCTCTCTCTCACTGTCCACTCTGCCTGTCAAAAAAAAAAAAAAAAAAAAAAAAAAAAAAAAAGTGGAGCAGCCGGGACACAAACTGGAGCCCATGTGGAATGCTGGTGCTGTAGGTGGCAGGTTTACCCACTAAGCCGCAACGCCAGCCCCTATTTTTGTTCCTCTTAAAGTCAATTGGCTGTGCTGCTCATATGTCAGCAATGCGTCAGTCAGGCCTGCCCAGCTCTCTCGAGCAGGGACCTGGATTCACCACATCTCTCACCCCTGCTGCCTGCCACTCTGCTCCAAGCCACTGTCATCCCTGCCCGAGTTACGTCAGCAGCCTCCTGCCTGGCTTCACGGCGGGCTTCTACCCCACCCCCTTTCCAGAACATTCTGTACACAGCAGCGGAGTGAGCCTTTGAAGACTAATTCTTATCACGTCCCTCCTTTCTTCCAAACCTCCTGGATCACCTGGAAGTCTTCACCCGGTCCTACACACCTCCCTACCTCTCCTCCCATCCCTTATCCCTCTCCTCCATCCTGCTTCGGCCATGCCAGGAGTGTCCTCCTGCCTGCGGGCCCTGGCACTTGCTGTTCCCTCTCCCTTAACCCTCTCTGCTGAGAGGGGGGGGGGGGCCCCCCCCCCATTTTATTCAAGTTGCTGGGGGGAATAAAAAAACCCAGGGTTTGCCCTGCCCTCCCCCCCCCCCCCCCCCCCAGCCAGCTTCCTATCTTCCTCCACAGTCCTTATCAACATCTGACACGGTGGATATTTATTTGCTTAGTATCTCTCTCCTCCCAGTAGGGATTTTTGCCTGTTTGTTCACTGCTGTAGCCTCAGCAGCTTTAACTGTGCCTGGCCCATAGCAAGCAGGCCCTCAGTGGATGTTATTAGAGAAATTAATAAATAAACAAAGGTGCACGTATGCATACATTTTAAGGTTCTTTTTACCAGTTTCTCAAATAACATACTGGCTGATTTTCTCCGACTCCCCTGATTGCTTTTTTTCCTTATCAGATTTTAGCATTTTTGGTGCTATGTGTGGTTAATGTGCACCCACATGGAAGGATGACTCACGGGGAAAGCCCTGATGCATTTCTGCTTTACCTTTCCACTGCTTTGACTGCTTTAAAAATCAAGTTCATAAAGTCTTTACAAACTGCAGAAAGCTTCCCCTGGCACCGATGGCTGTGCACGTTATACTTGCACAGGAGAATTTTGGCAGGGCAGGGGGGTGGAAGAGGAAAAGGTAAGTTTGGGAAATCTGTAAAATTTGAGCTTGAGGCAACTCACTTTGGGGAAGGTTGGCTGGCTTTGTGCCTCGCCAGCTACCCTGAGCCTGGCTTTGGGCTGTGGCCCCCACCTCTCCCTCTGCTTGCTGCTTGGGGCTGATTGCAGTTGCTCCTGCAGGTCAACACCAGTGTCCAGAGAAACTGGCTCCACGTCAGCTCGGATGCGTGCCGCCTGGCCATCATCTGGAAATATGGTGGCATCTACATGGACACAGATGTCATCTCCATCAGGCCCATCCCTGAGGCGAATTTCCTGGCCGCACAGGCCTCTCGATACTCCAGCAATGGGGTGTTTGGGTTCCTGCCCCACCATCCCTTCTTGTGGGGCTGCATGGAAAACTTTGTCGAGCACTACAATTCAGCCATCTGGGGCCACCAAGGCCCCGATCTGATGACCAGAATGTTGAGGGTGTGGTGTAAGCTCGGAGACTTCCAGGAGTTGAGCGACCTCAGGTGTCTGAACTTGTCCTTCCTCCACCCCCAGCGGTTCTACCCCATCTCCTACCCAGAGTGGAGGCGCTACTACCAAGTGTGGGACACAGAGCCGAGCTTCAATGACTCTTATGCCCTGCACCTGTGGAACTACATGAACCGGGAGGGGAGGGCTGTGGTGAGAGGGAGCCACACGCTGGTGGAGAGTCTCTTCCGCAAGCACTGTCCCAGGACGTACAGCCTGATTCAAGGCCCACAGGAGTCAGTGACCAAGGCGGGGCATGCAGGTAACCAATAGAGCTGGCACTGGGTGGCCCCGACGCTTCCTGGAGTGCTCCACTCCCACTTGATCTCCATGGTCTTTCCTATGCATCAGTTATGAGTCTCTTTCTCTGTCTCCAGTAGTACAAGCCCGGAGAACAATGGTGGCTCTACAACATGGACGTTTATCCCTATTTTGCGTAAAAAAAGTCCAAGTGCAGGCGATCCAGGGTGAGGATGATAAAAGCAGTCATCAGTGACCCAGGTTCCTTGCATCCTTCTGGCTTGTTGTCTTTGGCGTCCTTAGCTTATGGTCCGTGAGGCTGCTTCACCTCCAGCTTATCTTGTCTGCATTATAGGCAGCAGGGCAAAAGGAACAGAAAGGGTGCCCCTCCTTCATTTTATGAAGACTTTCTGCAAGTAGCATATTCCCTTTGCATCTCACTGGCCAGAGGGAGTGTAGCTGCAAGAGAGGCTGGAAATCTGAGAATGAGAAAGCGCGTGTTGGGTTAGACGCTACCAGTTGTACTGCATGGTTTATTTGATACTGGAAGATTAATTTTAAGGCCTGTGGAAGTACTGACTGGGGGAGAAAAAAGAGACTTGATTTCTAAGCCTTATTTTGATATTCATTTATGCATTCAATTAATAAATGTCATCTGAGCCCTTTCTGTGTGCCAACCACTGATCTCAGTGCTGAAGATACAACTGGATGAAGTGGACACGATCCACACACGTATGTCTTAATCACTGGCCACATGCCCCTAGGACAGTCTCCTCCCCTCCCCAGGGGATTTGCTATTCCCTACACTATACCTTCTCAATATGTGAATATAAACATAATCTACCCCAACTGGCTCACGAAAGCAAATCACAAATTCAAACGTTTAAAACCACTGTCTCTTTTATGCTTTTAAAAGATTTATTTTGTTTATTTGAAATGCAGAGTTACAGAGAGAGAGAGAGAGAGAGAGATTCCATCTGATGGTTCTCTCCCCAAATGGCTGCCATATCAGGGGTTGGATCAGGTCAAAGCCAGGAGCCTGGAACATCATCTGGGTCTCCCATATGGGAGCCAAGCACGTGGGCCATCCTCCGCTGCTTTCCCAGGTGCATCAGCAGGGAGCTGGGTTGGAAGTGGAGCAGCCAGGACTGGAACTGGCACCCATATTGGGGGTGCTGGCATCACATGTGGTGGCTTAACCCACTGCACAATGCCAGCCCCCACTGCCTGTTTTAAATTTGCAAAAAAGTTTACCTCCTTCTTTTCAAAGCATCATATTGTACACCATAAATGTATACAACTTTTGGCAACTAAAACATCTAAAAAGCTTAAATCTTTTTTCAAGCAGCATGAGAATTGGTATTTCTTCTGCAAAACTCAGCAGCCAAGATGTTTTAGCACTTCACTTTTGGCTGTTTGCTCTGTGGGGAAAAACAGTTTAGCTGGCTGTCCTGTGCATTGTGCCCTGGAGCCTCCACTGGTGTCCAGCTCCCCTGGCTGTCTCCACAGGTTTAGGATCCTAGGGCCCTGGGCTCAGGGAGGGTCACACAGGAGCTCATCCATGTGGGTGCTCATTTCTGTATCTGGGCAACACGTGGCAAATGGTTTTGTCAACCGACACTCCCAACTACTAGAGTTTTGAGGGGGAGCTGATGAGAAATATTTTCAATTGTCTCGGAATGAAGGAAAAATAGGTCAACCTTATTGTCACATGTCGTCATGTTGGGCTGTGATTATAGGATAATTAATCACAATATCCATAATTCAATGCTTATAGAGAACTTTACCTGACAGTAAAATGTTTTCAATTAGTAAAATATGGGGAGCACACTAATAGTGTTCTACTTAATAAATACTGCTTGTTTAGTGAAAAAAAGTATTAGAAAACATGGTAGTTATAGTGGTGGGGAGAGTTGGACAACGTCATGCTCACGTTTGCTGTGGTGGAGTGGAGTGTTTAGCTGGCGGTACATAGGACAGGGCCCTCAAAAAGTTCATGGAGAATGGGTACTATGAAAAAGCTATGCATGGGTTTCCAAAACCTTTGTCCTCAAATAAACTTGTCACATGAATCTTTAGAAGACACCTTGTATTTTCTTATTCTGTGAGTTGTCCGATATCTTTTGACACCTTTTCTGTTGGATTGTTTTTCCATTTGTTGTCGCTTTGTAACCACTGTTTGTATGTTAAGGACACTAACACTTTGTTTTCCCCATCTCATTTACTATGTTTTAACTGTAGATGTCTTGACACTCTGTGTAATCCAATATGTCATTTTTCGGATAGGTCTTTTGCATTTCGTGCCAGGTTTCTGCATCCCTCCACCAGCCTGCTTCCTGTGAAGAAATAATGATTCTACCTGCCCGCCCAGGGGATGGACGCTACAGGGCCCTGAGGTCTCAGGTGTAGCTTCTAAGTTAAATAGCAAGGTCAATGTGCTCCCCTTGGTGATACTGGGGCAGGGGTTCTTCACTTGGGGGTCTATGAACTTACAGTTTAGTTTTTACAAACTGTCAATGAAAATCTTTATCACTTCCTTCAATTCCGATCGTGGGCTGCCAACCATTGCACAATCAGTAGCAGCTGTGACTTGGCCATTAAACATCGCAGGTATTTTCATATCACGTTGAGGCTGTTGCATAGATCTGGAAATAGTGTTTACATTTGCCACTTTTAGATAAGATGCTAGATCTTGCCATATAATACATTAATAAAGAAGCACAAACATTGTTCTATCACAAATTTGTTCTCTGATATTTTCACGGCTGTATTTTCAACTTAGCTGTGTTCTCTGTAGCTCAATAGGTTTTATTTTTTGTACTTAAGAAACATTCTGAAGTCATCAGCTTCACCAAACCACCACATGGGGATTCCACGTTTATCACTGCCATCAGTGGTGGCCAGGGCACAGGTGGCTGGTCACATCTTAGGTGTGTTCCTAGACTTAGCAGGCAGGTCCTGGTTGGGCTTCTTCTGGCCTTGAATTTTCAGTTCTGTGCTGGAAACTCTCCCACCTACCTCCCTGGGAGAAAGAATGTGTCTTCTGCAGGTGCACGGATTTTCTACAAAGTGGCCTTTTCAGGGACTGGGCTAGAGTGTAGGCCCTGCCTAAGGAAGAGCTTCCCCTCCCCTCCAGCCAGTTCCATACATGTGACTTGCAGGCCTTTTGTGCCCAGTTCTCAGATTTCTCATGAGGAGCCAGCACTAGATTTGTATGTAAAATCCCCTTCTAACTGCATATCTGTCTATCTACACATGAAAGCTGTGAAAACCCACAGGCAGACTTTTGGCCTAAAGTCACCCAGGGAGGAGCCAGGGCTGCCATCTCGGTCCTGGGATACCTGTCGGGTGCAACTCGGGTGTCCTGGTTCTCCCGCAGGAGAGCGGACTCCCACCCCTAGCTGGCTCCTGAGGTGCGATGCCGGCAGTTGGCAGCAGAGGGCGCTGCCTCTGCCAAGTCCTGTTGTATCCTGAGAGCTCCCCAGGTGCGGGAAGGAGGCCTGAGGGTGGGTGTCTGACACTGAGTTGAGGAGAGGCAAGGGCAAAGTAAGGATGGCAGATATTGGGGCCCAACTCCCGCCTCCTCACTCACCAGGGACTGAGTGACAGCACTGTCCCCTGGACCTGCCACCCAGGTCAGGGACCTCATACACTCCCCACCGGTGCTGCCAGGTCTCATGTGTCTGTGGCAGCATCAGGTGGCAGCTTCCCAGTGCTCATTGCTCAGTCCTCTGGAAGCTCCTGGCCTCTTTGGCATCAAGAGCACAGCCTGGCACACAATAGGTTCCCCTCCTCCTTGCAGCTGCTGGAGCGAGGCCCAGGGAGGGGAAGGTGCGAGGACTCCACGTGTGGCGGTGTTGGTGGGCCCACTTGGGAAGCTTTGGCTTTTGGCATTCCTGGCGGGGTGGGACTGGGTGCATGCCAAGTCTGCTTTGTCACGGCAGCTCTGCAAGGAAGGTCACGCCTTCTCCACATGGGGACATCGGGGCCAGGGGAAATCACACACACACACACACACACACACACACACACACCCCTCATCAGAGCTCCCTCCTGCAAGACTCAGGAATACAGTGGGATGAGGGCTTCTGAGAACAAATGCTACAACCAATTTCTTTTTTAAAAAGGGATTATTTTATTTATTTGAAATGTACAGTTACAGAAAGAAGAGATAGACACACACATACACACACACACAGAGGTCCTCCAATCACTAGTTCATTCCCCGAATGGCTACAATAGCTAAGGGTTGGGTCAGCCCAAAGCCGGAGCCAGGAGCTTCATCCAAGTCACTCTCATGAGTGCAGGGTCCAAGCACTTGGGCCATCTTCCACTGCTTTCCCAAGTGCATTAGTAGGGAGCTGGATCAGAAGTGGAACAGCCAGGACTTGAACAAGCACCCATATGGGATGCCAGCATTGCAGGCAGCTGCTTAACCTGCTACACCACAACACCAGTCCCCCAAACAATTTCACAGCATGAACTCAGTACACATCACTGACTGCCAGCCACAGGCTAAGCCTGGATGATATTTTAACTACGTTGATTCTCATAGCAACCCTGCTAGGTAAAGTTTATTTCTCCTATTTTACAGATGGAAAAACTGAAGGTCAGAGGGGTTAAGTGACTTTCCCAAGGTCTCACAGTTTGGGAAGATGGCAGGTACATGTGTGACACCAACACTGGTACACTTCTCCCCCTCCTGTAGTGAAAAACGTGTGCTGGGGGCCGGAGTTGCGGCTCAGTGGGTGGAGTCATCAGCATCCCACATCAGAGAGCCGGTTCAAATCCTGGCTGTTGTGTTTCCAATTCAGCTTCCTGCTAATGCATCCTGGGAAAGCAGTGGAGGATGACTTAAGGGCCTGGGCCCCTGCCATCCACGTGGGAGACCTGGATGGAGTTCTGGGATCCTGGCTTAGGCCTGGCCCAGCCCTAGCTGCTGTGAAATTTAGGGAGTGAACCAGTAGATGGAGAATCTCTCTCTCTCTGCCTTACAAATAAATAAATCTTTTAAAAAAATGGGGTAGCCCAACTAAAGGAGTGGAGGGAAAAACCTCCCCATCGGGACAGATGAATCAGCCATCACTGCTGGTTCCTGGTCCCTGTCTTATCCATTTCTTTAGCATTTCTACAATCATGGTAGAATACACATAAATAACATAAGCTTTTCCATTTTAATCACTCTCTGGTGGCGGTACATTCATTTGCATTATTGTGCTGCCATCACCACTCTCCACGTCTGGAGCTTTTCCATCATTCCCCAGTGGAGACTCCATGCGTTCCAGAGTGAATCCCTCTGCTATCTCCCCCAGCCCTTGGTAACCACGATTCTACCTTCTCTCTCCATGAAGTCCAGTATTCCCTGTGTCTTGCCCAAGTGGAATCATGCAGTATTTGTGCCTAGCTTATTTCACTTCACATCCATGGTTTTGCTCTGGCCTGAATGCCTCAATGAGGTTGAAACTCTGGCCCCCAAGATAATGATACTAGGAGATGGATCTTGGGGAGTGATTAGTGTTAGGAAACTGGCGCAGTTTTAGCCAGGTGGCAGCATGGCCCAGCTACCTGAGCCAGGCTCCACCCCCATCCTAATGGGATTCGCTGCTCCTGCTTCCCTGCCCGCCCTCAGGCAACATTTTAAAAGTGCCTGTTCTGAACACGTGCTCTCTTGGTTCTTTTCTTTTGGCTCCTCTCCTCTCTCTCTCTCGTCTCTCTGCTCTATCTTCTCTCCTCACTAGCTCCTCTCCTCTGGCTCTCTTATACTCTTTCTCTCTCTTTTTCCTTCGCCGCCCCTTCACTCCGGGCTGTAGGGTGTTCCCCAATAAACCCTTTCCCTTACTCCAGTGTTCGGTGTGTTTTGCGACAGCTAACATTAATATATAACAATTAGGCCACGCGCTGGATTCTGTCCCGGTTGCCCCTCTTCCAGGCCAGCTCTCTGCTGTGGCCCGGGAAGGCAGTGCAGGATGGCCCAAGTGCTTGGGCCCTGCACCCGCCTGGGAGACCAGGAGAAGCACATGGCTCCTGGCTTCGGATCAGTGTGGTGCGCCAGCCGCAGCGCGCCAGCCATGGCAGCCATTGGAGGGTGAACCAACGGCAAAGGAATACCTTTCTCTCTGTCTCTCTCTCTCACTGTCCACTCTGCCTGTCAAAAAAAAAAAAAAATAAATAAAAAAATAAAAAAATTAGGCCACGAAGGTGGAGCCTTCATGATTGTGATTAGGATCCTTCTATAAGAGAACCCCAGAGAGCCGGCTGGCCAGCGACTATGGGAACACTCAGGGAGAAGCCGGGCCAGGGGTCTTCATCCTGCTCAGTGTACTGGCACCTTTGTTAACAAAATGGTGCTGTCTTGTCTGTGGTGCCAGCTATGCCCTGGACACCATCTTAACCTCTGCCCCCCGCATCATCTTACATAGTAAGATCCTGTCCTAAGCCCCAAGGCCCAGCCACAGCACCGCCACCCTAATGGGATTCCCTGTTCCTACTTCCCTACCACTGGACAAAGGCTGCTTCCAGCACACGTGCCCTCTCCTGATTTCTCTCTCCTTTACTCTCTCGCCACCTCCCCCTGGCCCGTCAGGCTTCCCCCACCCGACAATACACCTTGACATACATCTTTCCCTTAACTCCAGTGTTTGGTGTGTTTTGTGGTGGCCTTACAACCTCAATGTTTGACTGCCCAGGCTCCAGAATTGTCAAAAGTAAATTTCTATTGTTTGTAAGTGACCCAGATAATGGTATTTTCCTATAGTAGCTTACACAGATAAAGACAATTTTCAAGAGTCATTCATGTTGTAGCATATGCCAGCATTATCTTCTTTTTAAAAGGTGAATAACGTTCCATTGTGTGAATGCCACATTTTGTTTATCCACCTATCTGTCAATGGGCACCTGGATAGCCACCTTCTGGTTAATGTAAATAATGCTGTTCTGAGTTCAGTGTGTAAATATCTGTACTGGGGCCGCGCTGTGGCTTAGCAAGTAAAGCCGCCACCTGCAGTGCTGGCATCCCATAAGGATGCTGGTTTGCTGCTCCTCTTCCAATCCATCTCTCTGCTGTGGCCTGGGAAAGCAGTAGAAGATGGCCTAAGTGCTTGGGCCCCTGCACCCATGTGGGAGACCTGGAAGAAGCTCCTGGATCCTGGCTTCAGCCTGACCCAGCCCCAGTCATTTTAGTCATTTGGGGAGTGAACCAACGGATGGAATCTCTCTCTCTCTCTCTCTCTCTCTCTGTGTCTCTCCCTCTCTAACTCTACCTTTCAAATAAATAAATAAACCTTTAAAAAATATATCTGAACCACTCCTTGCTATCAATGCTTTTGCATATACAAGTACTTCAAAACGTTCGCGGAAAATGGCATTAAAGAGGTGATTATGATACAAACAGTTTTGATATCTATGAATGGGTTTGTCATAATACACATTTTCTCTGGACTCCTGAAAGATCCAGGTATACCTAGAAGTAGAATCGCTTCTACACACAGGGCTTGGCAGATGCCGGCTGTGGTGGGCAAGGCTTGGAAGCAACAGAAAGAAGCCCCAGGATTCTGAGGCCCAGCTGGGCCAAGATTGCTCACGGGAACGGATCAGGGCTGCTTCCAGGAGGGAGCAAGGGGAGTGCCTGCGGCCAAGGCGGCTGTGGCCAGAGCAGATCCAGGCGCTCCGGGAGGAGCTCCTAGCCCGGTCCTGGTCCAAAGCCAGGGCGGGCAGGCGGGGCGGGATGCGGGGCGCACCCGCGGTCCCAGGGCAGAGCAGGCCCGCGGCTACCCCGGACGTGTGCGGGTCTCCGGGTGGGGGAGGCCACAGCTCGTCCCGCCTCCGGGCTGCGCGCGGCCCAGCGGCTCGGCCAGGCCAGAGAACGCTCCGGTGGGGGGCTTGGGTCTTCCTAACGAGTTCAACGTGGCATTCCCTCCTTCCCCCATCCGCTCCAGGCCTTGGAACAGCTCGTCCCCGGATGGGGCGCGCGGGGCGAGGCTCCACCTCTTCTCGGAGTGGCGTGGGCGGCCGTGGCGGGAGCAGGAGGCGCGGGAGACCCCAGGCGGCGAGCGGCGGGCGCAGAGCTGGGGAAGAACCCCTCGGGCCGGCGCCAGCGACTCCAGACCTTTCCCCGCTGCTCCCGGCTCCGGGTGACCCCAAGGCGAGCCCGGGCCGCCCGGGAAAACTATGCCAGGAATGCATCTGGGGAGCAGAGCGGCTGGGTAGCGGCGCAGCAGTCGGAAGGATCCCGGCCCGGGCCCGGGCCGCATGAGGTCGGCCACGCGTGGCTCCAGACACCGCCTGCGCCCCGGCTCGGCTCGGCCTGCTAGGGACCCAGAGTGACTGATTCCTAAGACCCGGAGGACGGCCTGGGGCTTTTACTTCTGGCAAACAGTTAAGTGATTTGGGGGGCGTGATGATTTGACTTGCGCAGGTCGGGTACTGAGATGATTTATAAACAAGCACGTTGGCACCCCACGTGGGATTTGACATGAGACTTGATTGGTTAGTGCGAGAAAAGGGTCCAGAATCCAGGGGCTGGGCGGGGTGGGGTGGGGTGTCTATGAGCTCTGAGCTGGAGTCCTGAGTGGGGACTTCCTTCAGGAAAACCCCTTAGGGGTACAAGGCCTGTGCTGCCCCTGTGTGGTCGGCTGCATCTCCCTTTCTAACAGGATTTGCATGAGTGGCAGGTGAGTGTGAGGCCTTGGAACCCACCCCCACCCCCCACAGGCAGCCTGGCTGGTCTCCCATTGGGGGTGCTAGACCTCAGCACCTTTCTACCCCCTCCCCTGCTGAGGACCCGCCAGCGAGAACAGCCCTGCCTCCACCAGGCTGGCCCTCCTGTCCAGCGGCTGCCGCAGCCTTTGGCCCGTCCCTGTTAGCACTGAGGGCCTGGGACCATCTCCCTCATGGGGAAACAGTTTTGGGTACACCTCACTAGATAAAAAAGCCCCATGAAGTTGCAGCTTTGGAATAGAAACCTGAATTCGTATATGCAGCATGAGCTGTGGGTTCTGCCATGGAGCTGAAATTTGGTCAAAAGGTTGGTTTGTGGCTCCACTCAAGCTGACGGGGCAGGGAAGGGGACAGGTTGGGTTGTGGGCCGTTCTGAGCCTCCCTGTGAGGACCTACTGTGCCACGCCTGTCACTCAGCCTGGCAGCTCCACTGGGGGCTCTGGCCTAGGCACTGACAAGGGAGAAATCAGCAAGATTCCTTTCTTTTTTCTTTTTGACAGGCAGAGTGGACAGTGAGAGAGAGAGACAGAGAGAAAGGTCTTCCTTTGCCGTTGGTTCACCTTCCAATGGCTGCCGTGGCTGGCGCACTGCAGCCGATGTACCGCGCTGATCCGATGGCAGGAGCCAGGTACTTATCCTGGTCTCCCAAAGATTTGGGCCATCCTCCTCTGCACTCCCTGGCCACAGCAGAGAGCTGGCCTGGAAGAGGGGCAACCGGGACTAGAACCTGGTGTGCCAGCGCCACAAGGCGGAGGATTAGCCTAGTGAGCTGCGGCGCCGGCCAGCAAGATTTCATGTAAACTCCTTCATGTAATAGCAAATACGAACTTTTTTTTTTTTTTTTTTAAGATTTATTTGAAAGTCAGAGCTATGGGTGGGGGTAGGGGGAAAGGAAGAGTGAGAGAGAGAGAGAGAGAGATATCTTCCATCTGCTGGTTTGCTGGTTCACTCCCCACATGGCCGCAATGGCTGGGGCTGAGGCTGGGCCGGGCCAGGCCAGAGCCAGAGCCAGGAACTTTTTCTGGTTCTCTCATGTGGGTGCAGGGGCCCAAGGACTTAGGTCATTTTCCGCTGCTCTCCCAGGTGCATTAGCAGGGAGCTTGGATGGGAAGTGGAGCAGCTGGGATTTGAACCCGCATCCTATGGATTGCCGGCATTGCAGGCAGCGGCTTGACTAGCTTGGGCCCAACACTGGCTCCAACACGAGTATTTTCTAAGCCAGTTGTCTTTCAGATGTGGAAAGCAGTTTGTTTTGACAATTTTGCATCTAGAAGGGTAGGTCACACCACCACCCATTCCTCTTCTTTAACAGTCTCAAGGCACAGCAATCAAATCTCTACCCCTGTTTTTATTTTAAAGAAAATCCTTTTGTGGCAAAACTTAACAGCGAGCTTTTGACAAAACCATAGACACCCGTCTGTTAGAGGGGCCTCCTTCAAGTTGTTTTTGTGGCTTGAGGGTTCTGGGAGTGGGTGCAGCCTCCAGGAGGGACAGGGAAAAGCAGAAAAGGGGAGTCTGTTCTTTAGAAAACAAAAGAATCCAAGCTCAAGTGCAAGGTCTGTGTGGGTTGTGCTCCAGGAGAGCTCCTGGGTCCTTCTTGGCTCCACTGTGTTCTCTAGGGTCCCCTTGCCTGCAGTGTGTGCACAGCCTGTTTGCAAACCCAGGGCAGGTCTCCTTGGCAGCCACAACCATTAGCGCTAATGACACGCCTGGGCTCCCCTGGGCAGGCACCGCTGAAGTTAGCTGGCAGCCAGGGCAGGTCTGTCAATGATTGCCTGGCAGCTGCCTTGGAAACTCGGCTCCCTCCATGTTTTCTGGCTGCATTCTTGAAAGCAGAGAAGGTAACAAAGGGGCAGCGTAGTGATGGTGGTTAACGTTCAGTTTGGATGTAAAGATCCGGTCTTCAGCTAATTTCGTGGCAGTTATCTTTGACAGATTGTTGGAGGGCGGGTTTCAGACCAGCCAGGCAGTCTCTCAGCAAAATGGCTGCCTTGGGAGGGGTGTGCGCCACGCACAGGTGATGGATGGGTTTTCTATGTTGGGTGTGGCATCGCTGCAGGTAGAAACAGCTCTTGAGCATTGAAGCAAGCTGGGGATGCTAGCACAAGTCTTTTGACTCAGGGATTCGTGATACTGATCTAGGATCGGGAAGTTCCCTGGGACTCCATCAAGACATCCAGGGGTGGTTAGCATAGCTTCAGATTTCCCAATGGTAGTGAATCATCTCTCGTATTTCTGTTCCCAGGCGTGGGCGATGCAGTCTGCTAAGAATTCAATCTGGAGGAAAAAGCTCTGTGCCCTCACTCCCCACCCCACTGGGGGAGGTGCGGTTTCCAGGTAACCTGCAGTACTCTCACTTAGCTTTGTCTTCTGTCTGTCCCAACCAGGACGCAAGCTGTGGAGCTGGGCGTTATCCAGCCAAGCCCTGCTGAGATCCAGGGAGAACGTAGAGTCTCCAGCGTGATCGGCTGTAGATGTTGCCAGCTCCTGCTTTTTGGTCAAGAAGTCTCAGGTATTGTATTGCAGTTTCCATAATGAGAAATCATTTGTATGTTGTCAGCATCGTCATCATTGTTGTGGGGTAGTTTGGCATAATTCCTAAGCTTTGGGAGCACACAGAACTTGGTTTGCATTTTGGCTGCATTACTTAGTAGGAGAATACTTCAAAAAGTTCTTGGGGAACCAGTGTTGTGGTGCAGCAGGTTAAGCCTCATGGCTTGTCATCCCATGTGGGCACTGGTTAGAGTCCTGGCTGCTCCACTAACAGTCCAATTCCCTATTAATGCACCTGGGAAAGGAGCAGAGGATGGCCCAAGTATTTGGGCCCCTGCCACCCCTGTGGGAGACCTGGATGGAGTTCCTGGTTCCTGGCCTTAGCCTGGCCTAGCCCTGGCTGTTGTGGTCATTTGGGGAGTGAACCAGCTGATGGAAGATCTCTTTCTCTGTCTCTGAGATTCTGCCTTTCAAATTAAGAAAGAATTCTTTAAAAAAAATTCTTGGAAAAATGGAATTAGGAGATATGTTATTTTTGAGGCAAATTTTTTGAAATGCATTTTTTTTCATAAACTGCATTCCTTGAACCCTTTGAAGACCTGTCATATGCATGCTTTTGAAATTTTTTTGCAGCAAAATAAATGTTTTAAAATTCTTCTTTCCCAAAAACTTTTTTTTTTTCTGACAGGCAGAGTGGATAGTGAGAGAGAGAGACAGAGAGAAAGGTCTTCCTTTGCCGTGGGTTCACCCTCCAATGGCCGCCGTGGCTGGCACGCTGTGGCCGGCGCACCGTGCTGATCTGAAGGCAGGAGCCAGGCGCTTCTCCTGGTCTCCCATGGGGTGCAGGGTCCAAGCACTTGGGCCATCCTCCACTGTCTTCCTGGGCCACAGCAGAGAGCTGGCCTGGAAGAGGGGCAACCAGGAAAGAATCCGGCGCCCCGGCCGGGACTAGAACCTGGTGTGCCAGCGCCGCTAGGTGGAGGGTTAGCCTATTGAGCCGCAGCGCTGGCCTCCCACAAACTTTTTAAAAAAATTTATTTGATTTACTCGCATCTACTTGAAAGACAAAGTGACAGACAAATACACACACACACACACACACACACACAGAGTTCTTCCATCTGCTGATTCACTCCCCAAATGCTCACTTCAGATAGGGCGGGACCAGTCCAAAACCAGGGACTCAGAACTCCATGCAGGTCTTCCACTTGGGTATCAGGGCCCAAGCACTTGAGCCATGATCTGTTGCTTCCCAGGATGCACTAGTGGAAAGCAAAGTAGTTGGAACTCGAACTGGCACCCTGCTAGGTGACGTGGGCAGCCCAAGTGGTGGCGACCTGCTAAGCCACAGCTTCCACCCCCATGAATTTTCTAAATACCCACATGGCTGAGTGACTTGGGGATGGTCTCTTAGCATCTCTGAGCCTGTTTCTGCATCTGTCAAATGGGGCAAATCATAATTACTTATAAGGCTGTATTTGGGCTAGAAACAGGACTTTGGAGGGCTGGCGTAGTGCCTAGCACAAAGATTGATGAATGCTAGCGGCTTCTGTCATATCATCTGCATCTTCAGATTCCTACGGTCCCACAGTTCAGCTCCATCTTTTGCTGCAAGAACACCAAGACTTCTGAGAATTGCGCTCTTACCATTCTAGAGGAAGACTGGAGGGATACTTAAATTGTTTAAAAATTTATTGTATTCTATTTGAAAGGTGGAGAGACAGGGTGGAAACACAGAGAGACAGAGAGCTCTTCCACCTGCATTGGTTGAGTCCTCAAATGGCAGCACCAGCCAGGGCTGGGCCAGGAGCCTAGACCTCAATCTGGGTCTCCTATGTGGATGGCAGGGACTCCAGGACTGGGGACACCATCATCTGCTGCCTCCCAGGATTAACAGGAAGCTGCACTGGAAGCTGAGTAGCTGGAACTCAAAGCAGGCACTGTGATACGGGATGCGGGCATCCCCAGTGGCAACTGAAGTTGCTAAGCCCAACACCTGCTCCAGAAATGATACATTTGAGCTGCAGTAAAACCTCATGACCTCGGATCCCTAAGTCAGAATTCTACATACCTGGGAGTGGGGCTGCTATCCTCTGTGTGCACAGAGGACAAACGCCGAGGGGTAAGAGCTTGTCAGGGTCAGGCCACGACACTGAGCCGCAGTCAGCATGAGCCAGGGCCTCTCACTGATGTGCCTCAGCCACCTGTGACGGTTCCTGTTTCTAAGCTCTCAGCAGGAGCCAGTGGGAACCACTCTGTGAACACAGAGGGGACCAACCCAGAGTTCCACTGTCTGAATGCATTTCCTTCCAGTGAGTTCCAGTGAAGGGCTCCTGGCTCCACTTTCACTTTTCCTAATGTTTGGTGGTCCATAGTCTTGTTTCTTTAGGGGCTCAATACTATAGAATTTTGAGGCAGGTTTTTTTTAAAGAATTATTATTTATTTGAAATGCAGAGTTACAGAGAGAGGTGGGGAGAGAGAGAGGCAGAGGCAGAGGCAGAGGCAGAGGCAGAGGCAATGAGAATCTTTTTATCTGCTGATTCACTTCCCAAATGGCTGCAACCGCCAGGGCTGGGCCAGGCCAAAGCCAGGAGCCAGGAGCTTCTTCTGGATCTCCCATGTGGGTGGCAGGGGCCCAAGGACTTGGGCCATCTTGTGCTGCTTCTTCAGGCACGTTAGCGGGGAGCCAGATCAGAAGTGGAACAGCCAGGACTCGAACTAGCACCTGTATGGGATGCCAGTGTTGCTGTGCCACAGCGCCAGCCCTGAGGCACATGTTCTCAAGTGTTGACAGTTTTGCCCGGTTCAGTAGCAGTTTCAGCTCTGGGTGATAGTCTAGGGACTGGGGTACAACAGATACAGATAAGCCCTGGTCTCAGCCCAGGTAAGCTGCACAGCATGGGAAGAGGAGGGGACAGAGGCAGGATTGTCTACTGTGGCCCCTCCTTGGTGCTCCCACAGCAGCCTTGCCTAGCCTGTGTCCTGGCACTGACCACTCCATAGGGCATTTTCTGTGTGTTTTTCTGTTTGTCCTGGAGAATAGATTTGGAGCCAGACACTGCCATTTAGAAGCTGTGTGTGATTGTGGGGAAGTTATTTCCCTTTGTTCACTCTCAGTTTCTCCATCTGTATATTGGGCCATAGTGGGAGTTAAGTGGGATCATGAATGTAAAGCATGGAGCTCAGTAGGGTTCTAGAAACGCTAGCTATTTTCATTAATGATGTTACCTGGGTCACCATCAATTCCGGGTGCCAGCATGGGGCTCAGGAGTCATTGCTGGTAGGACAGATGCATGAATGGAGCTCAGCCTTCCCCGTGTGTCAGGGCCCAAGCACTTGAGCCATTGTCTGCCCCCTCCTAGGATATACTCGTGGAAAGTGGAGTAGTTGCAACTTGAACTGGCACATTGCTAGGTGATGGCAGCCCAAGCGGTGGCAACCTCCTAAGCCACAGCTTCCACCCCCAATAAGCTTTCTAAGTACCCACATGGCCGAGTGACTTGGGAATGGTTCCTTAGCTTCTCTGAGCCTCGTGTCTATATAGAACAGAATGTATGCCAGGTGCTCTGGAGCTGGGGGGAGGGGCAGGGAAGTTTGACTGTGGGCCTAGAAGGGATTGATGGTGGCAGTCACGGTGAGCAGGGCTTTGCAGTGTGCATCCATCTCAGGCAGGAGCCGAGGAGGTGACGGAGGCCAGCACAGAACAGTGGCTAACAGCCCGGCCTGGAGCCAGGCTGCCTGGGTTTGAATCTTGCCTCTGGACTTCCTTACATCTCTGTGGCTCAGATAATAACAGCACCTCCTTAAGGAGTTGTTCTGTGAATTTCATTAGCTACTTCTTTGTAAAGCACAAAATAACCAGCCCAGAGGGATGCAAGTGTGGACAGAAAGGAATAGGGTAAATGGGAGACGCAGCGGGAAAGGTAGTTTGGAAGCAGTTCATAGTCTGAATGCCATTCTCAGTGAACTTAGCATTAGCCCATCAGGAACACAGTCCCAGATGGCTGAAGGCCAGTGGTGGCTGCCAGTTATTATTTTTTTTATATTTTATTTATTTATTTGAGAGGTAGAGTTGCAGACAGTGAGAGGGAGAGACAGAGAGAAAGGTCTTCCTTCCATTGGTTCACTCCCCAAATGACCGCCACGGCCGGAGCTGTGCCGATCTGAAGCCAGGAGCCAGGTGCTTCCTCCTGGTCTCCCATGCGGGTGCAGATGGCACTTGGGCCATCCTCCACTGCCTTCCTGGGCCACAGCAGAGAGCTGGACTGGAAGAGGAGCATCTGGGACTAGAACCAGTGCCCATATGGGATGCTGCACTGCAGGCAGAGAATTAATCTACTGCGCCATTTATTTATTTGAAAGGCAGAGTTACAGAGAGGCAGGGGCAGAGAGAGAGACACACACAGAGAGAAAGACAGAGAGAGAGAGAGAGAGAGAGAGAGAGAGAGGTCTTCCATCCACTGGTTCACTCCCCAACAAGAGCTGGGCTGATTCAAAGCCAGGAGCTGGGAGCTTCTTCTGGGTCTCCTACGCAGGTGTAGGGGCCCAAGGACTTGGGTCATCCTCTACTGCTTTCCCAGGCCATAGCAGAGAGCTGGATCAGAAGTGGGGCAGCCAGGACTCAAACCGGCACCCATATGGGATGCTGTGGGGAGCAACTCGGACTAGACTAAGTTACTGGAATTAAGACTTATTCTGTGCATCTGCTCTCCCACAATATGGCGCTGAGAAGGGAGAAACAGCCTCTACACAGCTGCCTCCAGTTCAACCAATAAACAGCAGGACCTGCTCCTGATTGGAGGAGAGCAGCGTACTCGGCGTGTGGGTAGCAGAGTTGGGATTGGCGGAAGAGGACTATAAAGGAGAAGAGAGATGGCATACACCAGGAACATCTAAGGGGAACATCTATCCGAATAACACCTGTGCAGCCCCTGAGAGAGCCGGCTGGCGGTGTGCCGCTCCCCCACGGAAGTGGGGAATGTGGCAGGGGGAACCGCCCTTCCACGGAGGTGGAAGGG